CTTTCATCTCTGGGAAGTTTTCTAGAATTATTTCATTTAATCGGTTGTCGATTCCTTTGGTTTGAACCTCTATGCCTTCTTCTATCCCGATGACTCTCAAATTTGGTTTTTTTATGACATCCCATATCTCTTGAATACATTGCCCATGAGATTTAAGCATCTTTTCTGTGTTGACTATATTCTTTCAAGTTGATAAACTTTGTCTTCATTATCTGATGTTCTGACTTCTACTTGATCTAGTCTATTTGTAATATTCTCGTTTGAGTTTTTAATTTGGTTTATACTTTCCTGCATTTCTAGGATTACTATTTGATTTTTTTTAAAGATCTCTATCTCCTGGTAAAGCTCATTCTTTGCCATTTGAATTTGTTTGTTTAATTAGTTTTCAAAATATACTTTCATTGCTTGGACTTGCTGTCTCATGTCTTCTCTAATATTCCGTTCCATCTGAGTTAGGTATGCCTTGAGTTCTTTCCCTGTCCATGTTTCTGATGCTTCTAGGTCCTCCTGTAGATTTAAGTTGTCCTGCATTGTTTGTAATCCTTTTTTCCCTTGTTTTTTCATGTTGTTCACGTTACTTTCCAGCTCTGTTTGATTGCTGTGTTTCTGCTCTCTCCTATAAATTTGTTTTGGTTTTGTATATCTCTGTTGTCTCTCCTTTGTGGTGATAGACTATGCCTGCTAAAGTGTATTCCGCTGGGAAGGAGTTCTGGCCAAACTCCGGTGACGTCACCTCTCTGCTATGGCGGGCCCCAGGCTCCTTGCCGGGGTGTCCGAAGGGAGGGGTGGGACTGGTCTGTCTCTGGTTGGTTTCAGATCCCGGTTAGCTACTTCATGGAGGCCTGGCTATAGACCTCTTCCTAGAGTCTCTGCGCCGTACCTGCTGGGCTGTACCTCGGGGTCTAGCTGCGCGGTCGCCGGTGTGTGGGTGGTCTCTAGCCACCCAGTCGTGCGGGCAGTGGGCGGGCAGTCGGTTGCTGGCAGGCGGGCGGTCTCTAGCCACCCAGTCACGCGGGCAGCGGGTGGGCGACTGGTCACCAGCAGGTGGGCAGTCTCTACCTGCCCAGTCATTCGGGCAGTGGGCGGGCTGTCGCCGGCGGGCGGGCGATCTCTAGCCGCCCAATTGCAAGGGGCTGGCCTCTCCTCCCCTGGCTTCTCCTGCTAGCCCGGCCTTCCCCTGTGTGATGCCTCTCGGCAGTTCAAACTCTCCTCTGGGCCTGCAGTTTGCTGGGTGTGGAGATTGGCTATTGGGAACCCTGGCACCCTATTGTTTTGATTTTTTCCGCTTGCCCCTCCCCCAGCGCTGGCTAGACAGGTTTCATTTTCGTCGCTGATGGGAGGGGAGTTGAATGTCCAAGAATGTAAGTGCTTATTAAGTAAAGTCTGTCACCAGTTCACAAGGATTGCCATTAAAACTGAAATTGATTCTTATCTGAAGCCAACATTTCCTTTAGATAATTATGTTTTTAATGCTATTTCATCATTCATAAAAGCAACACGACATTAGAATTTGAAAAATATAGAGCCTATATGTCTCTTACCTGAATATTTGTGCATTATGTGGAGGAACTTTAGACCAAGCAGAACCTTGTTCTGTAAGTCATTAAAGTCACTGATGAAGTGAGCTGGGTCCCCACTAACAAGTATCCGTGGTGGTAGGCCTTTCTGGAATTCACACACTCTATCCAACGTTGTAGGAAAGAGTGATGGAGCCAAGTAGTCCACTAATAAAGCCCAGTTGCTTTGAAAATCTGCTTTTTGTTTAGAATAATATTTTGACCTAATAGAGAAGTTGGAATTTACATTAGGCTACTCAGAATTTTGCCAACTAAATTTTCAAAATAGGTGTTTATTCTACCATTAAGAGTATAGATATTCAGACTGGGGATGTAGCTCAGTGGCAGGGTGCTTTCCTAGCTTGCCTAAGGTCCTGAGTATGATCACCAGCAACAGACACCAATACACAACATGAGGTAGAGAGGGAGAGATGGAGGGAGGGACAGAGAGAGGAAGGACTGTATGAAGTTGGTGTTGATTTTAAAGCCCACATTTGAAAATGTGAAAAGGCATTATTCAAATTTTAAATGAGGAAATTACTATTTCAGAAAATCTCTAGTTTTTAGTCCAATATTTTGCGCTTCTCATCAAGAGGATATTATAATTGCAAGCACACTCAAGGGTGACCAAATTTCATTATTATAAAATTTAAGATAAAGCCAAAGGCAAATTTTCTCTTTAACTTGGATATGTTAGGTGACCCTGAAAATGAAATTAGAGATTTTTTTCCTTGCAGCTTTTATTTATTTATTTTTTTTGTAAAGGCAGTTTGGTGCTTTTTCCTAGTGAAGTGTGTTAGAAAGCTACTTTTAAGTTCGTAGTAAATACTATTACATCTATACAGTCTATTTCACATATTCCAGTGAATCTCCTGACCATGTGAACGATATGCCTCTTCTCTCTAAAATACTTTACACTCATTGTCTTGCTCATGATTCCCTATCTCCTTCAAAAAGTATGGAAATTACATGGCTTTTAAATTTCTTGTAGCATTTTTGTGAGTAATACAAAAAAGAAGACTAAGTGTTATGAATTCAGAAAGCAGTTAGAATATATCATCTGGTCAATACCGGGCAAAGTGCACATATATATATGTGTGTGTGTGTGTGTGTGTGTGTGTGTGTGTGTTATATGACAGTATAACGAATTAAATATCTAGCCCCTCCCATGGTTAATGAACAATTGATTGGCATTCCATACTTTTATCAAAACATCAAGACTGGAATAGAAGATGATAGAGAGGATCTAGGCAGCAACACTCAATCCCTTCACAGCCCAACGAGGAAGTAGTGAAAGAACAGCTGGTCAGAGAGGTTCCAAGCAGATAGCCACTAAATTCTATGCCACTTTAAAGAAGACACTGTGAAGGGAAGCAAGTTCACAGCATCCTGAAGGACAGAGAGAGAGAGAGAGAGAGAGAGAGAGAGAGAGAGAGAGAGAGAGAGAGCTGAATTGTGCATCCTGTGGTTGCATCCAATAGAAAGAATCTCGCAGATGTAACACGGCACCCCTTGAGCATGCAGCCTCAGGTCCCTGGGCAGATGAATAAGAACCAGCTGGTGAAAACTCCTCAGCAATAAGGGAAGTAGATCCTGTTCCCCAGCATCTTTAGAAGAATGCAAAGCTGAAAAGTGATGAGCATCTTCTAAAGTCCCAAATCCTGATTAAATCCAAACCAGGAATAAAAATTTTATCCACTTGGGCATGGAATACCAGAAACAGCTCTAACATCAATTCTGATTTTAAATCCATTACTCTTCATTTTGATTTGATAGTTGTTCCTGTAGTATTTGATATCATGCCCTCAATCCATCTGATTGTATTTCTTCTAAAGTTTAAAAACATTAGCTGAATTATCCTATCACTCTATATTTGTTTTCCTAGATCGGGCTTACAATCACTCCTTTTAGCATCTCTTCTCTTTCTTACATTACATGTTACTGTCCTAACCCCTCCATCCAGTTTTTCTTTCTTTCTTTCTTTTTGAATCTGGTCTATATTATTCTTTCCTATCATTTCTTTCCTTTTTTACCCTTCTACCCAATTTTTTCTCTTTCCTTTTCCTGCCTCTACATAAAATAATAGTGATTTTACTAGCTTTAATAATTATTTCCTCAAACCATTCTAGAACACTACTATATTACTATAAGTAAAAAATTAAAAATGTATATCTGGATTAGAGAAGCTGTGGAGAACATTATGGTTAAGTTTCAGTATTTTCTGTAGTTGATTAACATGTGAGTTTTCCCTGAAGTTATTATAGTAAATAGAATTTAATGTCTTTTTAAAGTGGTGCTAATACTGGTAACATCACAGGTCATGCATTGAGTGAAAGTATCAATAACTCAGTATTCACCCACCCCAGTCTCTGAAGAGAAAGAAACTCATTATATAGTCCCTTGCATAAAAGTAAATGCATTTATATAAAGCAAAAAAATGATACTTGTCCCAACATAAGAGTAGACATAAAAGCAGTATGAGAGAGCAAAGGAACAAACCACATGGAACAGCCCACAACACTTCAACAACTGATCTAGTTGACACAACAGTGAAAGAAATGTTGAGGAAAGATCAGAAAGCTCATGGTTAAAATGCTCATGAGCTAAAAGAAGATGTAGGGAATGAACTTAGAAAATATAAGAAGTGAAAGATGATTTCAGTAAAGAGAGATTCTAAAAAAAGAACTAAACAGAATTCCTAGAAATGAAAATTTTAATAAATTAAATTAAAAATTCAGTGGAAATCATCACCAATAGATTAGATCACTAGGAGTATAGATTATCAGACCTTGACTAGAAAGTATATAATGTTGAAAATAAAGTCAATTATAAAGAAAACATGTCAAGAGACCATGACAAGAATATTCAAGAAATCTGGGATAGCATTAAGAGACCAAATATAAGAATCATTTGTGTAGATAAAGACGAAAGAATATAAATTAAAAGAATACACAATCTTTTCAATAAAACAATATCAGAAAAATTTCCAAACCTTAGGAACAAAATGGAATCAAATTTAAGGAACCTATAGAACCTCATGTAGGCAAGACCAAGAAAGATCCTCTCCAAGACACATTTTAATTAAAATGTTTAATATACAGAAAAAGAGTAATTTTAAAAGTCATAAGGGAAAAATAGCAGGTCAGATTTAGAAGTAAGCCAATATGGATTTTGACAGATTTCTCAATTCAGATCCTAAAAGCCAGTAGAATTTGAAATTATACCAATCTCTGAAAGAAAAAGAGTGCTAGCCAAAATTACCATATTCTGCAAAACTACCTTTCAAAATCCTTCCATGATAAAAAGAAACTAAAAAAATTCACATACTCAATAAAATATTTCATGCAGAGCAAATGAAAAAGTAAAATTAAAACTAGAATAAGAATGAATTTCATTAGAGGAATAGTAAACTAAAGGAAAATCAAGTATGAATTAAGCATTAGAAATAATTCAAAATATCAGTATATAAAAATCAGCACTATATAGTAACATTGAATGTAAATGACCCAAGTTCTCCTATCAATAAAGTCATGCATTGGCAGATTGGACTAAAAAACAAGATTGAACCATATGTGCTTTACAAGAGACTCACCTTGAAGGTGAAAGGATAGAAAAAGATATAACATGCAAATGGAAACTGAAAGCAAGCAGGGTTAGCTACTCTCTTATCAGACAAAATACACTTCAAGTCAAAATTAATCAGAAGAGACACAGAATGTCAGTTCATACTGGTTAGAGGAATCATTCAACAGCAAGATATAAGGATTGCAAATATTTATGTCTCAAACAACAGTGAATCTATATACATAAAACAAGCCCAAATCAATATAAAGAATCAAGTAGACCACAACACAATAATATTGGCTCATTTCATCATACCTTTCTCACCACTGGATAGATCATCTAGGCATAAACTAAATAAAAGTTTTTCAGAATTAAAAGAATGCTATTAACCAAGCAGAACTAACAGGCATCTGTAGAGTATTTCATTTATTGACAACTGAATTCAATTTCTTCTCAGTAACACATGGAACTTTCTCTAACATAAATCATATTTTATAGCATGAAGGAAGTCTTATTAAGTGCAAAAAATAATTTCTCACATTGTATTAGAGGACAATAGAATAAAATTAGTTGGGAGATTAAATAATACACTTTTGAATGGGGAATGGATTGCAGAAAAAACAGGGGATAAATAAAAAGAAATTCTTTGAAACAAGTTAGAATAGAAACACTACATATAAAAATCTCTGGGATAGTATGAAGGTAGTTCTAAGACAAAGGTTTGTTGCACTGAGTTCATACAATAATAAAAACAGAAAGATACCAAATAAGTAATCTAATACCTCAAGGAACTAGAAAAAGAACTGTTCCAAAATCAGTAGAAGACAGAAAATAATTGAAATCAAGCTAAAATTAGTGAAATTAAGGATAAAATAAAAAAATGAAATCAATGAAACGAGGTGCTGGTTCTTTGAAAAGGTACGATTGATAAACCATTAGTCAAATAAGTGAGAGAAGACTCAAAGCAACAAACTTAGAGATAAAAAAGGAGATGTAACCAAAGACACTTCTGAAAACCAGAGGATCATGAGAAACTATGTTGGAAATTTATACTTTAATTTAAAGAATTAGAAAATTCTGATGGTATTGACAAATTTCTAGACACATATAACCTACCTAAACTCAATCATGAGGATATAGAAAACTTAAACAGATCAATATAAGGTGCCGCAACCCGGCTGGGCACAGAATCACAAGCCTCTCGAGCAGAAACAAAGTTTTATTTTAAAAAGGCCGCCAGTGACCCGTGTGCGCCCTGCTAGCAAGCTGGTCCACACACCTGTGTGCATCTACCGGAACCGGGGGCCCGGACCTCCCCCGGAAGTTCCCTCCTACTATCCTTCCCCAACCAATGGGAACTCTCCGAGAGTCCCGTAATATGAGTCCCGTAGCAGGCGAGGTGAACAGCAGGAGTCCAATTTCCATATGAATGTAAATCTTAACATAATCATATCATCTCAATGGCTAGCTGGCAGTCACCTAAACCAAAGGTGCCATGTATCATAATACTTTTGCTGTGGCTCCTAGAAATAAAGCAATGAAATAGAAGCAACAATTAGAAGATTTCCACCAAATAAAAGCCCTAGATGGACTGTCAGCAGTGTTCTACCAGACAGTTAAAGAAGAATTAATGCCAATAGTCCTCAAATTATTCCTCAAA